TCGCTAGGTGCAGTTGTTTTTGGTTTGAAGCCTTGCAGGCACATCTGCATGAGTCTGAGGCTCAAACAGCACACAGATATGCCTATATCAGTGATGGTCTTTAACACCCTCTGCTGCAAAGCAGTTCAGCCTGTGAGTGTCTGGATGGTACATCTGCCTCACCTTCTCCTGGATAGACAGGACCATTTCATCTCTGATGGAGCGGGAGAAGGTGACTTGACAGAGGTTGGTGGTCAGAGCAGCGGAGACACCATCAAGAACAGCTCTGTGCCTGGGAATCATCTGCTGCTGCTTGAATGCCATACTCCATGGCCTCGCTGATGATCTTGGGATGTTTAAAACAAGGAGGCATGTCCTCTGGTCAGTCAAGCAGCCTTCTGGCTTCAAATGTCTCTCATTTGCATATTAGTGTTCACCTCCCACACTAGCTTGAGAAGAGACTTGGCATCCACATCATCAAACTCCTCCAATTCAAACTTCCAGAGCTCCTCCAACAACAGGTTAGTCATGTCTTCAACAGTCACTTCAGATGGGAGCTGCATCTTCTGCTGAAGCCTTAACAGTTCAGCCACCAGTGCAATCTTAGATTTATAAGAGATCTGCAGGTTGCGTGCGTATATTGGTGTGTCGAACAACACCCTGATGGCTTTGTAGATGCCTCTGCTTCCTTCAATGAACTCCATGGAAATTTTGTTTCTGTATATCACAATACAGAAGAGGGTAAACTGACCATGCGCTCACAAAACGGTGTCACAACAAGTGTTAGTCAAACGATTCAAGAGTACTCAAACACAGTTGATCCTCCAGGCACAAATGAACCAAGTGTGTTCAGGGCAAAGGCTGTGTGAGGATTCTCACAAGATTCTCAGACAATTGTTGAGTCACTGGTCACACTGTTCTAGAAGGGATTCTTAGATATTCTTAGAACACCTTTTGTGCCACAACACAGAAATATCAACAGCAGCTGCATATGTTACAATAGTAACCAAGCAAATGTGTTAATGCCTCCCCTCTACAATACAGCCAAACAGTATTCAAATGCTGTTGTTTTTTGAGTTTGTCCATCAAAGAAAAATTAAAGAAGAAGAAAATTTGTTTTCCAAAACATCTGAACATCTGTTTCTGTGACAAAGCGCTCTTACAGCTGTAGTAAGTATGACGGGAGGAGGTGGGGGTGGATGAATTGCTCAACAAAACATCAGATTTTAACATGGGAGGACACTATTTACTCATTTCCCAACAAGAAACAACTAAATATTGGTTGTTTGTTAAATGACCATGATCTTACATCAAAGGTCTCCTAACTTTAACCAAATAATTATTTTAACCTGAACCACAATGTTAAGTTCTTATTTTTAGTCAAACCATGATCTCTAAACATTATCAAGTTATTTCTGTGTTTAAACCAAACCAGATTTTAACCAGTGTTGTCACATCATAAGAGATTAACTTTTTAGTAATTTGTAACAGATATTATTGACAAAGGATGTATTTGATCATATCATTTGGAGGATTTCTTAGAACTTTTAAAATATGCTTGTCACAATCAGGATATAAAGGAAAGTAGTAGACTATAGTAGTAGACTATATTCAGAGATTCTAGTTTTATATCTTCTAGTCATAAAAATATACGAAATCTTGTCTGTGGACAGAATAATAATTTTTACATTTATGAACTTAAATAAGTCACCATTTTTGGCTTTTGCCAGATTTCTTCTGCCCATTTCTTTATGCATTTAGCCACAGGTGCAGTTTGTGTTGGTTCAGGGGGCTCGCCTGTGCCCATGGTATCTGTAGATAAAAACAGCTCATTTTAAGGTAAGAAAAATACAAAAATTCCTATATTCAGGTGACTACATACTAATGAAAACATACCTGATAGTCTGGCTAATATCTGCCTGTCAACAACTAAAGAGTCTTTAATGTTGCACATAAGCAGGGTTGTTGCATTACACTGTAAATCCTAATAACATATCTTAATAAAAGAAGCTAACAAAATGTGTGCAATATTTTAAGTACTGGTGATGTAATGTGTTCCATTGACTTGTTTTCTTTAAGTTCACTTTATATTTTTACAAAAATGTAAGCCCTGAATCCCCAAAGGTAAAAGGTAGTTTTACTTTATTCAGATAAATAACACATTTTAAATAGGGTGAATTCAGGTTGAGTGGGACAGCAGGTTGAGTGGGACACTTAAGCTTTTGGGTACTGTAAAGGGTTAATTTTCTAAGCCAATCGCAACAATTGTTACTGGGTTGTAGCTGAATGTCTATTGGATATGAAATAAAGATTTTGATGGGTGTGACATCACAGATTTGGAACTTTTGTTATTTTTCAAATTGCTTGACTCCTGAGACCTTACGGTAAGCCACCCGGCAAGTGTAAATCTATTTTAGAATAATAAGGTTGATAATTCTGTCATTTATGATGTAACAATAAAACTTTTGCTTTTACATACCTTTATACTGTCTGTGTATTAGATATTAATAACAATGAGCATGTAACTGTATCAAATATTTGTGAAAATTCAATTCACAGCACTGTCCCACTCAACCTGACAGTGTTAGATAAAGTGGGACAGGCCATTTCAGGTTGAGTGGGACAGTTTTAGGGCTAATGCTAGCAAACACAGTGCAGCCATTTCATGAACAAAAGATAACATTTATAATATAATAAATAATAATATATGATATAATATATAAATATATAATATACATTTATAAGTAATAATAATGAAGTGGTGGTAACCAGCCAGCCTGATGATGAAGTGCATACCTCCACCCTCACAACTGGGCCAACCCCCCATGCCTCCACCCTCACAACTGGGCCACCCTCTCTACCCAGCACTTCAACAGCTAAGGTGGCTTCCATTTTAAGGTTCTCAGACCTTATTGATGTACCAACAAGAGAGAGGGGAAAGAAGAGGACGATGGCGAGGCCACCCAGCTACCACCTAACAAGCCAGGAACACTTCAACTTTGTCCAAGCCAAAGCAGACAAACAGAAACCTAAATCAACCAAAGTGCGTAAGGCTGCTGGTGTCCGCCCCCAAAAAGCTGCCGTTCCTCCCCTGCAAACAGTTCAGGGAAGTGACCCCTGTACTTGTTGCAAGGGGGTCTATGGGGATGCAAGCGACCCAAAGGCCAATGAGGAATGGGTGGCTTGCTGCCACTGCCAACAGTGGTATCATGAGTCCTGCGGAGAGCTCAACGGACTTATGGATGACGACGACTATTAATATTTCTAATTTAATTTTCTAATTTCTAATAGTATTTCTCATGTTCATTTTAACCGTAATATAGTGTCCCACTTTCCATAACAAAGTGTCCCACTCAACCTGATTGCTTCCAGTTTGCTGAAGAGGGTATTTCATTTGGAGAAATGCTGCATATGAGTGTAATATACTTACAAGTTTTAAGTTAAATTGACTGAATTATATTGGTACAAATAATTTACCCGTTTACCCGAATATTAAATATTTGAGTTACTTGTTCTCAAATCAAATATTGTTTCATGCTTAAATTGTTGAAAGTAATAAATTGAAATGGTTTAAGGTAATTGGTTTCCTCAAACAGTTTGAGTTGAATTAACTCATCTGGTTTTAAAGTGTATATTTTGGTGCAATAGGACCATTTCATCTCTACTGGACACATAGGTAAGCAAGCTTCTGTCTCCTGCTCTCCTTCCCTTCCTTCCCATGTGTCTTCCTTACTTTCTTTTTGGAGACAGGTGATGATGAGGATGGAAGACAAAGACAAAACACCCCATGTCTGACATCATCCTCCGTCACCTGATGGAGCTCTAATGGAGCTCTAATGGAGCATGTTGAGCCTTCAGGCTTAACTCAACTGGGCTCATCCTCAAAGGAATTTTTAATCAGGTCCATATTTCATCACCACCAATGCACAAAATGTGTGACTGCACATAATAGTGTTGAGCAGATGCATTTATCATTTATATTAACTTGTAGGGAACATATAATAGCAGGAGCTCATGCAAAACAGCTAATCAACAGACAGACAGATGCAGTCATCATATGGGTTCTTGACTTCTGGGTAGTTCCTGCTGAGTAGAGAGCCACAGCTTGTGTGACATTACACTGCCACCTACTGTTCACACAAGGTGTCTAAAAATGTTCAATTCAGTCTTCATTAAAATTCCATGGAGTGATGTGATTGCAGCGTGACGCCATAGCAAATAAAAAGTGGTAAACAGTAACAACAGGTCCTCGCTGTAGGAAGCTCAGCTGTGATTAAACTCTGAAAGGATCACATATGTTTTCTCTAAAAGACTATTTGTTGACAGTGATTGCGACTAACTTCTCCCACATTCAATCAGCTCACACATACTGTATGTGGGCTGATGGACAACATTCACTTTCAAAATCAACGGTGTCCTTTATTTTTGGATTATCATACCATCTGACAACGTATTCACAAGGCCTTATTGATTTTAAGGGGTTTTTTGTTTTTTCTTTACACTGTACACCTATATTTCAGCATTTCATTTATTATTAAGAAAACTAAATCAAACTGTTATTTTTAAAGTTTAGATTAAAGGTCCAGTGTGTAACATTTAGGAGGAAAATCTGTGAAAAGTACTCCTAATGGCATTTACAAGAATCAACGACCAAGCTTTCTTGGCTCTGATTGGTTGTTTTTGGTGGAGCACGAGGACGAGTCTGCAACCTCAGAGATGATCAATCTCATGTTGTACTGTCAGGACACACTGAACGTTTCAGCAAATATAACAAAAAGTTCATTTTATTTAAATTTTATAAAATCTATTTACTGCAGCTTTAAAGAAAGCGGTAGGGAACCACTGACCTACAACATACAATACTTAAAACAAGGATACGTGTTGAGTTCTCCGTTTGTTTTCAATGCAGCCAGCATTTTACGAGTAGTCATTTTCTACTGTTGAACTGAGCGAGCGGTCGTTTACACCTTTGCTTAAAAACCTAACTCCTCCCGCCCGGGCTGTCAAGGCTGTACCAAACGCGCTAACCCTTGCCACCCAGGAAGTGACAGCAGGGAAAACAGAGAGAGCAGTGTTTATCGACAGTAGCGGAGTTTGAAGGAAGAAAGGCGTCTGCTGTCGACGAGCGGCGAGTTAACATTTTTAGAAGCTGCTCTGTGCTTTTAACAATGTCTTATAAACAAACACCGAGCCTTTGGGAATGTCTCTGCGCCGTCGTGCTGTGTGTTAGCTTTGTTAGCCAGGGGGAATGCCAGACTCCAACTCCTCCACCTCCAGTTCGTAAGTTCTACTTAACGTTAAAGCATCAACGTTGTGTTATTACGGTTGACAAGGTAACGTTGTATCTCGTAATAAGAGACTTTAATGCCAGTTGATGAGTAGGTTAGTACTTTAGTGACATAGTATTTTTAAAAGACGTCACAGTGGAGTGCTGCACAGCTGGCTGCTGGTGGTCTGTCATGGCTTTGTGTTGCGTTCAGTAACGTTCAGTAAGTTTGTGTTTCTCCCGTTTCAGCCTGCTCTGCCTACAAGAACTGTGACACCTGTGTTCCGCATGCCAAGGTAAGGTTCCCGGGTATCATGTGGGCGCAGTTTATTGAACCTAAGATCAGACCTTTGGCCGAACAGTTGCTGTCATAAAGTATATTTTTATGATCCCTTGTTTGTCTGCTCATTCTGCGGCCCACTTAACCTCCCACAACATCAACTAAATACCACAGGACAGCCAGTAAAGCAGCTTTTTTAAATAGAACTAATACAAATACAATTGTGCATATCAGTCGTATATAATTGAGTGTAATCACGTACATTCATCAGTGGATTTCTGTATTACCAAATATACAAATAAAATGTCAGTTAGAAGTACTGAAGCCTCTCTTGAGTGACCTTGTTAATTGAAATGGTTTCTAGAGTTTTTAGACATGTAGTTTACCATAAGATCATTCCAGTGATGAAGAGAAACGTTTATGTTTGACCAAGTGTGCATTTGCTGGTATAGGAGGAATCAGAAATATGAGTTTGGTGTGGCAGTTAAAATGCAAATGTACATGAAATATAATCTACATGACAAAACCTGTTGATCATCCTGTTAATGCTCCTAAAATGTGGTTTTGAATTGAATAGATTGTAAAGATAAATTGTATTATATATATTATATATTATAATGAATTAGCAAAGTAGCTGCAGGTTAAATTACTGTTGATTGACTATATTGACCAATAGATAGATAGATAGATACTTTATTCATCCCCAAGGGGAAATTCACAGTTTCCAGCAGTATCCAGAGACTGATAATAAGAACAATAATAATAATAACAACAACAGGAGGCAAAATGCTAAAGAACCAATAAAATAAAATAAATGGCAAAATAACGAGCATTGGGTAAGTGTCCTAAGGTGCATGGTCAAATCCAGTGCTTGAAAGGCCTGAGGTGCTTAAGTAGGTGGTCACAGAATGCAGGGTGCACTGCGTCAGGTGGTGTAGTTTGATACAGGGCAGACGTATTGGAGTTCAGAGTTTCGTTGCAGCTTCAGATTTGTATATCAAATTAGCAATTTTATCTTCATAGCACATGCAGAGTATTGATCTTTGTGTTTTGTCTGCAGTGTCTATGGTGCATCACCTCCAACAACTGCACAGAATACCCAGTGAGCTGGTTGCTGCCTCCAGCGTCCGTGTGCCAGCTGTCCCAGGCCCGATGGGGAGTGTGTTGGAGTGAGTTGATCAGGCTTATTATTATGATGTGAAAGGTTGTGACCGCGTCTGCTTTTCTCTTTCACTTTGTCACTTTACATGACAGCAATTAATCAACCCAATGCTTCTGTAAACAGACATGTTTTACTAGAAAAGTAAGCACTGGAGAAGGAAGCTGTTGGCCAAAAAAGTCAAGTGATATGAGGAAGTTGAAATAATAGTTCAGTGCTCTGAAGATGCAAAACATTCCATTTTAATATGCAAAATAGAGACCAAACACAAATACACTATGTACACAGTGTGAAATACATACAACAGTTATCCATAAAAAAAAAGGCAACTATACAGGTGGAACTATACAGGTGGAAGTCCTTAAATGCTGTGGCTCTATAAAATGCTGGAGTTAGAGTTCATGTGGCAAACACTGCAGGATATTTGCAGTGGTGGGAGGTTCTCCTAGACACACACACACACACACACACACACACACACACACACACACACATTGGTGTGTGTGTGTGTGTGTGTGTGTGTGTGAGGAGTTTCTCTCACTTGATGTTGCTTCAGTGTCACAGAGGGGAGACTGCAGCATCTCCTCCCCGCAGCACTCTGCCTGCTTCCTCTCTTGTGCGGTTGATTTGCTCTACCAGACTCTACAGATAGAAGTGAACCATTACCTCTCAGTGCACTCTAAAACACTTGTAGTAGGTACAGAAAGTAAAATCAGTGGTTGGTGCTGGACAGGGAGTTCCCCTGATTTCTACGTAACCAGCCAGATGGGGAAAGTAGCCATTTTAGGGATTTTTGTGGCTGCAAATTTCTGTTGCACAAGTTTGAAAGCTCAGTTAATATACATTAACATTTAAAACATGAAACCATATGTTGTTTACATGTAGGTGAAAGCACTGTAAATATGTAATATACTCTTTTAACTCAAACATAATTGAAGCCTGGCCCTCATTTACAGTGATGATGAGTAAAAGTATAACATAGTGAACTTTATTTGTATAGCACTTTTCTTGTGCTAAAATGTTTTTTTATTCTTTTATTGTATTTTCTAAAATATAAAATACAATAAAACATTAATAATAAAAGAGGAATAAATAATATGAAATAAAATTCCCACACAGTTTTTTTTTTTGTTAGAATGTTTGAAGCAGTGATAGATTTAGCGAGCCTAATCACAGCAGATGAGTCATTCCAGCAGATTATCCAGGCTCATAAGGTTGTAGTAGATCTTTGAGTATGGGTATGGGCCCGGTCATGCATAGCTTTAGAAGTCAACTATAACATTTTAAAAAAACGCAAAACCGGGAAGCCGCACTGCCTGATCTTGTTTCCTGGAACTGGTAATAATCCTAGCAGCGGCTTGACTAATACCTGTGTAGAGGAGTGTAAAAAAAGATAACAGAAACGTAGACTGTTAATGTTCTAGTAGACTCTGTAGGTCAGTGCTTAGGCATTAAGCTAACACTTGTCTGTACAGAGAAGCTGCCTTCACACTGGACCCACTGTCACACTGGAGCAGCTGCATTATGATAACCAGATTCTCTGTCTGAAATCACACCACGGAAAAGTAAACATGAAAAAGGTTTTCCACTGGAAAAGGGAAAGAAAAGAAAAAAAGTTTGGGGATGGTCACTCACCCCTCCAACTGTCATCTGCTGTTTTTTTTTCTCTCTTTTTTTTAAATTTCACTTCCTTTTGCATTAATCAGAACTCCATTTCCCCTGTGAGGCTCACAGGTTACACCAGTGCTTTTGAGAAAATATGTAAATGACAGAAGAAATGGGATGAAGAAAATGTAAGCGGTGCTTCAACACCAGTGTCAGTTGTATTGGTTGTTTCTTGTGTTGTTTTACTGATTTCAGACTTTCAATCTGATACACAAGCCCTTGACATTAGTACATGAGACAGATCCTCCTCCTAGTACCAATCAGAGCCAAGTAGGTAGTTGGAAAAAACAAAACAGTATTTTTATTAAAATCCTCTAATGCAGCTTTGAGTCAAAAATAGCCCTAATCTAACAGATCCATAACTCTTAGAATCTTCACTCCAGTCAGTCAAGCACACATCAAGAATTCTGTGTTAGAATAGAATGCCTTTATTGTCACCATACACATGCACAATGAGATTAAAAAGCCAACTCCAATAGCAGTGCAAAAACAGTGTAAAAAAAAGACAATATAAACATAGGACATAAAGTAATAGTACAAAAAAGGAGGTAAGGTTCACAGTCCTGAGGAGTATGTACATTTGCAAAATAAATACAGTGATATATACAGTGTTAAATATATATATATATATATATATATATATATATATATATATATATATATATATATATTATATAATATATATATGTTATTTATATATTGCCCATTATGGTATGGAATATATGTTGAGAATATTCTGGTATATTATATAATTATAATATGAGGTATATACCCATTTACCTTTAGGCATTCATGTCATTTTGATTATGGGTTCAGTTTTCAGAGGTGTAATCCAGACATCTGGAGTTAGAGAATTTAATGAATTCATTCACTTTACAGGAAATAAGACAGAATGCATGTTCCATATTGTTTTAGCTCAACAGTAGTCTATAGCAGACTATATTAACAACATTAACAGATACAAGGGAAGAACAGTTTAATGCTGTGACTGTAGACCTACAATTATGGTTTCCACAAATTTCCATAACTACCTTGAAGCACAAACTGACCACAAACCTTCACTAGCTTCTTAGCTTGTACACTAAACAGAAGAAAATTATATATACATGTAAAAGCAGGCAAAGTTAAAATTTTCCTTTTTTTTTAAAAGTGGTTCAAAATGTTTAGCTTTCTATAAAATATCAACAAAGTAACCACCTTCCTGTTGCTCAGAATAAACATATCACATATACACGTGTTGACACGTTTCAGTGACTTACACAGTCAGGGAACTAATTTGCATCCCTAGTCTCTCTCTGGTAACCTGATCACTGCTGCTACTGTACTTCAGGAGCTTTATCACTGGCTTACACAAAGTCTCACCTGATTAAGTCTTGTCTGATGTCTCAGTTATGTTTTCACTGGAAATGGAGTGTAGTGTAGTTTCATTATAACAGTGTGATGTGTCGCTGAGTACTCAACAGGTGGCGCCATTGCCAAACAAGTTGAGTTTATATTGTCATTTAAGGGAAACCGGCACCAAAAGTTTCAGCTTTCATTAATTCTATTCTTGTAAAGAATATTATGTAGTATAATAATACTGTTATATATTTTCTGTCTCCTTGTGTGATTCAGTGAACTTTGAAGCCCTGATCATTGCCCTGGCTGTCCTGGGTGGAACCATTCTCATCGGCATTGCTGTATGCTGCTGCTGCTGCTGCTGCTGCAAGAAGAGTCAGTCAAGGTAAGGTTGCATAACAAGAGGTTGCACTTTAAGGTCAAACATAACACATGTTTTTTGTCTTTTTTTTTGTGGACAAAGTTAGTTAGAAAGACATTTTACTTATCAGAAATCACTTAGTGTGCATTCTAGCAGGTTATGCTAGCTATAATACAACCTCAGAAATGATACAGTGTCAAGAAAAACTGAACATATTAAACGTCATAAGGACAGAGTTTATTGTAATAGATTAATAGATTAATACCTAATAAATCCGGAAGTTGTTTTAAAGGAAAGCGTTTAGATTATAATTTTAAGAAAGCACAGAATATCCGCCCTGGCACTCTCTCTGTCACATCAAAACAACAACAAAAAACAAAGTTTGATTTGACCCACTGAGCAAAACCAGTTAAAACACTGTTAACACTTAAAGCAGTTCCACCTTCTCCCACGCGGTTGGGACGACAGAGGACGTCCCGGAGGGGGCTGCGAGCTGATCTGCTGCTAATGTTAGCTCAGCTTGTTTCTCTGATAACTTAAGATCCAGACGTATGATGACTAAAATCCTTCATCTGGTTCAAATCTAGAGTTGAAAAGCACCAAGATCTAAAAACAGTATCGTAAAAGTGTGGCTTAAAACTAGATAAGAAATCAATTTAGGACATCTGGCAGACAACCACAATTCAAAGGGGATATGACGCCATTGACAGGCGACCGGTGAAACGCAGTATGACCTGAATAAAATGACAGATTGCTTTGAGGTTGAATATTGTTGGAAACATTTGGGATAATGTAAGTACAATAATGTGAAAATGTAACGTATTATAGCTTTAGGTATTGGCCAGTTCTGAACTGGAAACAATGCTAGTTACCTAAACAACCACAGTAACTCCCAGCTTGTAAAAAATGAAAAGAAAACTACTTGAATCCACTGAGTCCTACCTCTGTGACATTACTACTGTGCTCAAATACAAGAAGCTCTGTGGTGAACAAGTGTTCAGTGCAGTGAACCTCTTGAGCTGAGCACCAGTGAATCAGAGCTACGTTCACTCTTGTAGTCTCATCATTCCTTTACAAGACAACTGTGTGTGCGGTGCTCCTGTTGTTCTGGAGTGAAATGGAAATGTCATGTCAGTCAATCAAATGCAGACTGGCCTGTCACACTCTGACAGTCGTGTGGGTATAATAGTCTCTTTCACGTCTATCATCTGACAGCAAAAAACGGGATGAAGAGCATGCCTGACGCACGCACGCAAACAAACGCAAACAACACACACACACACACACACACACACACACACCAAGCATCCATTTTACATGTACCTACAGGCAATTTTATTTTCTCACCTCCTGATTGCTCAGCTTCCGTTAAAGTAGATAATTCCATTATCAAAGATGACACAGGTTGTTTCTGTGGCAAAAACTCTGGCTTTACTTTTGAGCATCAGTTTCCTTTTGTTCCTCACTTCATGAATCAAATATAAATCATGCTCTGGAGAATTTGAACCACTGTAACTTGTAGAGGGTTACACTTTGTGAAAAGAATATCCCTCAAGCAGTTGTGGCAATGTATGTAATTTGTCACATCCAGATGAGTGTGTTTTTTTGTTCTCTGGTTCTGATGCTCTCTTCATGTCGCTTTATGTCTTAAGGCCTGACAGAGATGAGGAGAGATTTGCCAGGAGGAGAGAGGAGATCAAACAGCGCGCTGAGGAACGGTAAGAACTTTACTCCAGGCTTAAGTACAGATGGGTTGAAGTCTGTAACCAATTATAACTGTGTTTATTTAAATAACAGCATCACATGGCACAATGTTTCTCTTTAAGGGAAACCAATATTGTACTAAGGTTTGGTTGTCCTAACTAATGCTGTGTCACTCCCCTATGAAACTGTAGTAAACTCTGTAATGTGAAAATTACTGCTGGGTGATATGAATCATATGTTCTGTATTAGAAGGGTATTTTTCTAATAATACATAATTCTGCCAAGGCTTTAAGATCCACTAAATGTGTTTTGGTACTGAGAATTAGGGATGCTTGATATGGATTCTTTTTCAGACAATAAACAATTACCTGCGTCTCGCGACTGATGCCTATAAAAAAAAAACCCTGATAATTTGTATTTTAAAAAGAAGCTCATAACTTGTAGTTTTTACACACCTGATGATAAGAAAGGTTAAGATGTACTGAGGAAAGACAGATAGCACTGTTCTAATCAAACCTAACTGACATAAATATTATATAATATAATATATAACAAAAACAAACAACAGTTCTGATGTCCATTTCTTTTTACTAGTGAAGAACATCAGAAACATCACAAAGATACTTTTCCATTTATAGGACCAAACACAGGATCAAACATTCAACATAAATCATTATTATCAACCCATAACTTATTTGTCCTAATCATTTTTGTGCATCCCTATTGAGATTGTATAAAGGTTTCATTTACTTGATCTAATCTGTATCAAACTAGACTCAATGATGATGTTTAGTGCCACCTATAGTGCCATCAGATTTTGCAGGCACACATGTTGTCTATAAATTAGGTTTTAATTGCACAAAGGGTTTCAGAATAATGTAAATTTATGTCATGACTAAAGTAATTTCATAGGGAAAGGGTATAGAATACAAAAAATATTAAAAAATCCAAATATTTAGCACATGTGGGGAGTAAATGAAATTTCTAGCGTGAGTTTGGAGAAATGTTGGAAAGCTGATGGAAAGTCTTTGCAAAAATGGGTGTAACTTATATGGACAGACACATGCTGAGCCAAGAAGCGAATTTGCCTCGACATCTCAGTCAGAAGTTATGAGTGAAAAGAAAGTAACTTGTAAGTAAATTGTTGTGCAGTAGAAATAGTGGCGTCACCCGTACCAAAAACAAATAAGTTCCTCCTTTAGGCACCCAAGTGGTTTAGAGGGTAGGACAGCGACCATGACTCCAGCTGGGGACCTTTTGTACCAATACGATGTCGTTTCGAAAGAAATCTCTGTAAACACTGCGTCGTCCCAGAAATATCTGCATCCACACAGATTCACTGACAGCCTGTATGTGGCCTTGTGACGCCGCCACACCAATACACTAAAACCGGAAAAGAAGCCATGGAGCGTCTAGCGGCGGCGGCTGAGGTAAAAGGCTAGAGAGGCGGGGCTAATCCATCATTGTCTCGGGAAAAAATCAGTTTTGCCGTTTCCAAAAGGTACCGTTTTCACACCCTGAAAACGCCGTATCCGTCTGGACGCGAGGCCGATACGATAAAGTATTTATCCGGAATCGAGAAAAACGTATTCGTGGGGACAGGCCCTAGATTTCATTGTAATCTTAGTCGTCTTTCAGAGGTGATTTTTCAGTTATCCTGCTAACTCTCTGACAGACTGAAACAGGACCAAATCATTACCTCCTTGGTTGAGTTAATAGCAAAAAATAGTAATATTGATTGGTAAATCTAGGAAATTATGCTAACACACATTCTTTCAACACATTGGGTGTTTTTGCCTCTCCATATCCCAGCGGGACCTACATGGGATTTCCTACAATGGAATTGTTCATAGTCCCCAACAAAAGGGCCGTTGTATGTTTGGGGTTCAAGCAACTGGTGTGTGTAGCCCTAACAAGTCCATGTCCCAGAGGAGGAGCTCAGTGTTCCTCTACTTGCATCCCAAAACACCAATTGGATTGTCAAGGCTGAGCAGCTGCTCTTTGGTAATGTGGTCATAAATAGAGAGCGCTACATCCTGTGGAGCATTATCCACTGTCAAAGAAGCAGTGTGTTAGTCACTGAATCATACAGCAGTGTGTGTCGTGGCAGTGAGTAGACCTGGAAGCCTTCCTCTTCCTGCACTCCATAAATGTTTCAGCCTCATCTTTCTATTTAGTGCCTGCGCTCCCACTGCATTCATCCTCCGAGGATGGCCCGGGTGATGTGTTGGTAAGCAGGGCAGTCGTGCAGAAAGATAGTCAGTAACCGTGGTTTATCTTCATCACTTGCAGTGCCGGGAACACCAGCGTCCCGGTTCTCTCTGTGTGATCAAGAGAGAGCCTGTGAGCTGAATTATCCAACCTCTATGAGCTTTTCTCTCAAGTGCCACAGAGTCTAGTCAGGGTTTCCTGCGGTGAGCATGATCAAATCTCCCAAGTCAGAGTCAGTGCAGTGACCTACATAGATGCAGTTCATGTTGTGCACAGGACATTCAGAATAGATCGGACCCATCGTGGGAAAGACTACTGCCTCTAGACACTGCTGCCCGGCCTCTAGAGAGCCAGCTCACAGCACTGAGCCTTCATCAGCATCATCCGAGCTCAGGCTGGAGATCAGTCTTGGGGAAACATTAACAGCAGATAAGGGATTGACCTATACAGCTTTTTAAATGCTAAGTGATATTATTGCTTTTTAAGCTGACATTGCTTTTAAAAACACAGAATTCGGTGTTTTTATTTGGTATTTTTGTTAGAAGTTTGCTTTTGTCGAGGTAGGAAAACATTTTGAATCTGTATTACACCACTAAACATTTTCAGCTCGCTTGCTGTTAGGCCTTTATAAGCTGTAATTAAGTTTCTCAGAGCTTGTAAGCAAACATACACAGGTATTGTTGGGACACGTTTGTATATAATGTACATGTCAGCAACATCATATTTAGTTAAACAAAATGTAAAGAAGACATGGAAGAACTCAGGATATGGAAAGCTTTCCCCCCATGACAGTGTAACAAACCACTACACCTGGGAAACACCTGATTTATCAACATAAATGGAGAGAGACAATACAATAAATTATATTAAGTGCCTTGAAAAGGGGTTTAGTTTCCTGTAGGGCTGTCTACTGGCAGGAATCTGTCAATGCGATACATATCACAGCCTATGTTTTAAAATCTAATACTAGAAAATGTATATCAATAGTGTATCGACAATATTACCAAACAAAATATCGCAATACAATATTTTATTATATTTTCTTACACTCTTTTTCCTGTGCTCTGCTAGAAGATCACGTGTGGCGGTGTTATGCTGACCTGTACACCCAAACATTTTTGCAAAAACAGTTGACGCAGAGGTTTTGGTGGGTGTGCGCTTTCGTTGGCTCCTCTTCAAGTTTCAACCCTTCTCTATTCGGGTGTGCTAAGATGTTTCCTCGTATCTCAGAAGAAGTATAATTCCAGCTTTAGAAGTCTTCATGAAACAGATGTTTTTAAATCTGACCCCAGCCCAGCTTGTACCGATAAATGTGAGAGCCAAACCAGCCGATTTCCCTTCACGGGTTAGTTCTTCCTCCTTCCAAGAGACAGCGACTTACTGTAGAATAGTCAATAAAAGCCATCCCTCCCGGGTTACATCACTGGCTTCTTTCATGCCCCCTCTTTTAAACCAAAAAGGAAGTAATTGACGACAAATAGTCTGATTCTTCAGATCTCCAGAACTTCTATCCTAGTTGACTTTGACAGTTCAAACGGTTACAACAGAGTACTATGTACAGGCATGATCATGGGTCATACAAGGTCAGAATGTTCTCACAGTGAAGACGCACTCACCCAATCCTCAGGGATTTAGAGAAGCTCCTCTTCAGCAAATTTTAACTTTCTTTTATGTGTTGACTGTGTGTGTGTGTGTGTGTGTGTGTGTGTGTGTGTGTGTGTGTGTGTGTGTGTGTGTGTGTGTGTGTGTGTGTGTGTGTGTGTGTGTGTGTGTGTGTGTGTGTGTGTGTGTGTGACTGTTAGCTTGCTGGGAAACTTCAATGCATCGTCCACTGTCTTAACCTTGCTTATTCCACTGGGAGGTTTGTGTGCTGTATGAAACATATGAGACATGGACACAAACCATTCATTGATGAAATCCTGATTAAACCTGGAAGTCGAGGAGCAGAACCTTTAACCTCCCAAGTGAAACTGTTGCCTTCAGATGTAGCTCCTCACTTCACTTGTTGAATGCAGCCATATTTATGTAGGGGGAGTGTGAACATGTCAGTCAATTAGCTGCGTACAAGCTGACAGCAGGGTGCGGAGGACAGATGGCAAGCAGAGCTCAGCCACCCTGATTGCTCACAGATCACTACCTGGCAATAAAACACTGACTGATTTACACCGGCCTCTTTGTGCAGAGATGAAGTAAAGTGACGCTCTGGAGATCCAGAGCACAAAACCTCCTCCCAGGCTTTTGTTAACTCCTCAGAAAGGCTGAACGAGGGGCTGACGGCAGGCCTGTTGCTCTGTTTGTGCCAGCTAAACTGAAGCAACGAGTGAAAATATGACTTAACACTCCATGACAAGCCATTAAATGCCATAAGGACTGCAGACATGCTTTTTTTTAAATTCTTGGTTGGCTGTTATGGATGGAGAAATATTGAAAAGATGTATTTTCTCACAGTTCATCTTTGCATTTTTCATCCTCCATATTGTTTTGCCTCATATTGACGTTTTGTACAAATGATACAGTAAATAAATGGACTGTGAGCTGAGTGTTGCAGTATATCAATATTATATTGATAGTGTAATATGAGACTATATATCATATGGGAGTGTTTGTATAAATGTTGTCACTGTTGCAGTACATGATAGTCTGAAGGTTGTTCTTTAATGTCCTTCCAACAATTAACAGATATGTTTAATCATCATATCAATGGTCATGTCTCTACATTTGTGTATATTATTTAAAAGCAAAAGCAGTTACTTCCTAGATACCATCACTTTATCAATATAAAGGTATTACAGGGAAAATGTGTTGGTGTTATCTAGGCCTAGAACTATGCATATGGAAAACCAACCTTTTAAAATGGACACAAAGTCCAATATTGTGGTCCTGGGAGCAGATTTGTAGAGGAAGCATATGAAATGTCTCATTATTGCAGTGACAGGTTATTAAAATTGCCATTTTCACCTGCAATCATAGCACCTCTCCCTGTGCCAGTCACTGCAATCCTACATTTACATTTCATTTCCACAAGTTTCATTTGAATCTGATTTCCAGTTAGCTGTGCCGGAGCTATCACAGAGACCAAACCAGAGTTTACCATGTTTAACTCTACTGTTAGCTGTAAACCTGTGGCTTTGGCATGTATCTGGGGATATGAGAGGGAAAGGTGTTCCTCGATGTCTACCTTTTTAAGGTGTTTAAAATATGCAGAGGTTGAACTTGTCAAATAAGGTGAGGTCCAAAGTGTGTTCCACACCACTCGAACATGTACAATCAGGATCTTTTCACATCAAACAGTTTTTTTGTTTTTTGTTTTTTGTTTTTTTTTGGGGGGTGGGGGGTTACATATTTTTTTTTTTGGCCTTTTCATGCCTTTATTTGATAGAGATAGCTGAAGATCGACAGGAAAGGACGGGCAGAGAGAGAGGGGATAACACGCAGCAAAGGGCTGCAGGTCGGATTTGAACCCGGGCCGCTGCAGTAACTCCGTATATGGGTCACCGACTGAGCTAACCAGGCACCCACATCGAACAGTTTTGGCTCAGACAGAAATCATGTTCACATGTTCAGTTTTTGTCTTTGGGCCTGACCAAATGAACCAAACTACAGCTGTGAACTGCAACCCTTCTTTTGTTTCTTTACAGGAAGGGGGAGAGAAAGGCAAGGCATGATGAGATCCGCAAGAAGTATGGTATGTATGAGTCTACATTGTATTTCTGTTCATTCAGCCTCTTTAACGACAGTCTGACAGACTCTGTACCCATCTGTCCCCGTGATGTATATAACCGCTGTATTGGAGTTGCTGCTGGATGAGGACTTTACCTGGCTGCACCAGAACCATGACTACCATCTGGGTAGTCATTGTTGGAAACTCTTTGGCTGTTGATTGGCTGAACCATTTATAACAGGCAAACTTCCACCAATCAGATTAATGGACCATAAAGCAGTCAAACTCTTTCCTTCTTTCAATAAAGAAATGATGCTAGCAGCAATTATGCTAACCTCTTTAGCAGCCGCAACTGTCACTTCTCACACACACCTAGTGTCAAACCACGCACGTAGCTCATGCCGTAGCTGCCAGCAGTTCCTCATAGATGCTGTTTGGTCCATACCACTGTGTTTGAACACAAGCGCATACACTGAAGCCTGGCAAGATGGATTCTCGCCTTTCATAACTTCCAGTCCAGCTGTTTCGCAAGGTTAATGTAGACTTACCCCTCCTCTCCGTTCTGTTCATGTCAGCTTTGTCTCAGATGCATGTTGAATCGGTTTCAGATTTTCCAGTACCGTGTCATTGAGTATCATTTCCATACCCTGTGCCAGCGATGCATTATTCAGCAGTGTATGCCTAGTCCTCAAGGTAATTCAGGTCACGTATAGGTTACACTAACTCCTGTCTGCTTAAATCAGCTTAAGCATAATTTATCATACACTGGTAAGTCCCCACATGGCTGTGAGCAGGATTTTACAGGTCAGTGAAGCAGCAACAAACAACATTATTGGTATCATAGCCTGTATCATACACTGCTTGGGTCTGTGTGACAACAGTGACATGCTGCGAACCCGCCACTAAATAGCACAAGAACAGTTGAATCCGTAGTCACCTAATGCTTGGCAAACTGTTGATAATCCTGTGGTATTCACCAATAAGCTCACATTTTAAAGCATCATTCTGATTAATTGTTCTCATAGTTTTACGATAACTCATCAAGCACTCATCAAGTTATTTCTGAAGGTCATGGAACATGGCAACATCACTTCAACAAAGTTGCCAAAGACATGGCGAGGAACATGAGCAGTCCTGCGATCAGACAGGCCAGCAGTTTAGCCAGATTATTTAAACCACTTTGTCTGACCCCACATGTGGCCTGAGGTGACGCCTCCAAAAAAAGAAGTAATGTAATAAGTTATATTTGAATAAAAATTTAATTCAGCCCAAAAAAGTTGATTTTTTAAATGGTTTATTTATGTACAAAACTTTAATGAAGAGTCATGAGCCATTCAGGGCAGTTGCACACGTAGAGAAGGAAAATATGCTAATTTAGCAAGTTAGCACATAGTCCTGCAAACCATTACTGTAAAACAGCTGACTAAGTGCTTTAAAGGTCCAGTGTTTAGAATTGAGTGGCATCTCGCACTGTAGTTGTAGATTAAATTTTACAACCCCCTCACCTCACCCTCACATTCCAAGCTTGTAGGAGAAACTATTTTGGCTATGAAACTCGCAAAAACTCAAAAGGCTTGTTCTGGTCTGCCGTAGAAACATGGCAGTTCAATATAGAGGACCCACTCCCTCTGTAGATAAACAGCTCATTCTAAGGTAACAAAAACACAATGATTCTTATTGTCAGGTGATTATACACTAATGAAAACATACCTATGAATATATGTTTTCAGACCTCAGAGGTCTGGGTTTTTTTCTGCAGTCGCTTACTTGTTTGGAGCTGTTTAGGGCTCTTGTTTGTATGAAATCAAAGTAGCAGCCCAGGCTAAACATGACAGATGAGATGAGATGCGCACCCTTGAGTAAACCCCCCTGACTTCAGACAAGTGTACACAACCATCTCATTAGGCAAGTTGTGCTCAAACGAGCATCAGCGTCCACATATTGTGCTTAAGGACCCATAGTGGTGATCATAGACTAAAATGTATCTGGAAGAAAATCCCTGTCAAAAACAAAAAAGAATCCAATAGCAAAACAATGTCTTTATTTTACATAGCTGTGGTCACAAAAAGGTTCAATGTATAAACCTGATAATTGTTTGCCTGCTCAGGTTTCTTGACCCGTTGGACTTCTCTGTTGTTATCGTGTTCCCAGATCAACAGAAATGAGACGTGTTGTAATAAATGAAAATGATCCATTCATAATGAGTTCTCAAACTGTTCACTGCTACTGAGCTAGCACAGAATGACAGCACAGTCAACATTTCACAGTTTTGACCAGCACATTGACGGATTGATGAATGACCATAAGGCCAGTGTAGAGCCGTATAACTTTAGGGGAAGAGACTGGCGGGATTGACGTTTAAAACCATGCCCTCTGTCAGAGCTTTGATAAAGAGGGAATCATTCATTTTCTGCTGTTGATGTAGGAGAAGGTTTCATTTGTGCTACGAGGAATTCCTTCCATTGATTAACTCATGATGCTCTGTGTGTGTGCGAGTCCCCTGGCAGCATCAGTGGAGTAACATGTCAGGTTGTGTGGTTTTCGCGTATGGACAACATGACAGAGTGATGGATGGTGGTCTGTTCCTCAGGCCTCCTGCCCTCATTACTTTACTTCCATGGGGATTTCAGATGAGGCTGTGCTCCTTTTCATACTCATTCTGGTCTCTTCGTCATCCTCCGTGCGACTAAACACTGAGCCGTGTTATTTCCTTAAAGCACTGGCTCTGGGTTGAGGATCATTGAAGGTGGCTGAGGATTCCTTGAGGGAGGGCCATACGGTTATTCAGCAAAATGAAAAATAGTTTCATGTCACTATTAGTTGAAATTATCCCAGCGAGGGAAAATGAACTATAATTACACTCACTCTAGGCATGTTTCCAAGCACCGGCTCACCGCCTGTACAAGCTGGATGTGGTCAGTTTTACAGTTGAGGAGTGAATGGACACAAACCTGGATCCCTCAGATTAAAAGCAGCTTTGTACTCGCTGAGAATTCATTTTTGTCACAGTTTCACACACACAAAGGATGCAACACAAGGTTCAGTGTGACAGGCAAGGCTTCATTTATCCATATGACTATATACAGTCATACAGCAGGCTGTTGTGCGTGGATGATTACTGTCTCACAGCGCACTTTGGAGAGAGAAAATAGCGAGGGGCGAAGAGGAGAGACAGGCCAGAGAAAACAACGGGAAGTGTCCGAAGTTTGGGATCATTTCAACAGAAACTCTGTACAGTCTGTCTGTTGTCAAACCAAACTAGCCTAGCACGTTAGCACGACGTCAGTGCCTTACTGTGAAAAGCTAGCTAGCAGCTACAAGTCATTGTTTATCCGCAGATAAAAGCGTGAGAGAAAACGCCATCAATCATCTGATCACGTGCAGCTTCCAGCTCCGCAGAACCAGAACATTTTACCTCGGACTGAGACTATTTTAATTGTCTTTAACCTGATTCTGTTCTACTAGATAGCTAACTAGCTGTCCAAAGGATTTCTTATCTGATTCCTCGATTAATCAATGGAATGATCAAAAGATACTTGTGAATAATCCAAAGCTGCAATGGAATGGAAAAATGCATTCAGGGACGTCGCAGTTAGTCTGAAGGAGTCTAAGCTCTCCATGCTAACATCATGGTCTTAGGGCCTGTTGGAGGATGTCTGTATCTAATGACCAATGTTATAGTTTAGAAATCCTCAGATTCCCTCAGCTGCCTTTCCGTCAGCCCAGCTGTTGTTTTGTCAGCAGTACAGTAGGTCCTGGTTTTCCCCGGGTTACAGTTAACTCTTTAATCATCACGCACCCCTACTAATACAGAGGGTCTAAACACGAATAATACAAAGCCACAGCGAGTATACACACACATCTATAACATCGCATGTTTCACTGTGTTTCTGATCGGCACAACATTGAATTTGTTGTGAACATGCCTCAGAGAATAAACACTCCATAAATCACTTATTATTTTTCTTCACTTAGTTTGCTAATGAGTATTTGTGGCACCCAGATAGTGTATGTGGGATTGTCAGGATACAGTGAATATTGTTCTTAGTTACCTCCTGCAGCTTTATATGTGAGCCGTGACATTTGATGAAAGACACAGTGAGTTGCATTGTGGGATCTAGTGTTTATGAAGCTTGATCTAACTAAGGGTCAGGATATCTCAGCCTCTGCTGCTTTAACATCGTTTATTTTTTATTAGTGTCGTGTCTTCAGTCTCTTATTGTATTATTTTGTATTGTTTTGTATTAATATATTGTATATTATTGTCTTTGAAGCACAATACTAAGTCACTTGAGTACCCCATTAATGTCTGTCGTGATCTTTGGGCATTGTGAAAGGTCTTTCTGGGAAATGTAGTAGGGCAGATTAAACCATTTCAGCAATGCAAAAAAAAAAACATGAAAAAACACGAAAATGATCCATGGATCTTCCTGTCCTCGGAGATCCATGGAAAATGTTCCCTGACCCTCCACGAGCTTCCGTGTTTTCATTCTGTCTCCACTTCCTCTGCCTTCCTCTTCCCTCTGTGCAGGTCTGATGGGCGACTCGGACCACCCGTACAGCAAGTTTGAGAACGAGTAAAGCAGCTGCACTGGAGGAGTTCCACCGGCAGCATGTTGAGCTGCTCTTCACTTTTTAGCTTGGAGTGACGCCCGCTTCTCACACAAACCACCAAAACTGCAGAGTGCCCTCTTTCAGAATGATCCAATTCAAACAGAAATCACAGTTTGACACTTGACAACAACAAACCTGATAGATGAAAATGCTAATTTCTCTGGCCTTCTGATTCTTGATGAAGATGCAATGTTGTGTGGCAGACAGATGTTAAAGCTTGTTTTAAAACTTTCTGCAAAAGTTCTTTTGTCTTCTGAAATTCTATTATGTGAGTTGTCTCTTTTTACATATTGTAGTTTCATATCAGTCTTTGCACTTTGTACATACAGTATTGATTTATGAAAATACAAAAAATGATTGTACTGCAGATGTGTTTCTGACACATGAATAAAAACATCTTTTCTTTTAATAGTGAGAGGTGGGTTTTTAAATATGTTTCTGCTAACTCTTTTGAAAGGTTTTGTGTCTTTTCAACCAACAGGGAACCGGTTCAAGCACCTAGTTTTGAACCGCTCATTGAATTAAAAAATGAATTGGTTCAGGACCTGAAAAAGTTGGTTCCCAGCTGGAAAAGTGGGCATGTCATATTCTACAGATTGTTGTGCATTGTGCAGCGCCCTCTGTTGATGACCCATCCATACAGTGGTTCTGGTCAAAGTGATGGAAACTAGGATGATAAAATTTGGTGATAAAGGGGTCATAATGGCACAGGACAAGATACTGAGAACAGTTCATCAGCTTCTCCCCTCACTCCGGACTCCTCACTACAGATGGGTGTAGGTTGCTGTGGCAAGAAAAGTTTGCTTAGTTTAAATTTTCACAAGCTGTCTACAAGCCCTTTTTTTTAAAGATCCACTTCAAACATGTTTTAACCAGGGTTGCCACAGATCTGGAAAGTTCTTGGATTTAGCCTACTGGATTCCAGTGAGCCTTGTGCGCTCCGAAATCACAAAATTCATCTATGATACAGTTTTTATACATCTGGGACATTTACTCATAATGACATTTTCAGAGGGTTTTTTGATATCTTTTCTTCTTTAGCTTTTTATGAGTCACTTTATGTGGCGTTCATTTGTGGGAAAAATAGTCAAAAACAGTTTTTGAACATAAAAAAAATAGCCTCTGACCATTACATGCTCTTTAGTTATTGATCACAATGAAGCAAGAAAATAGTTAAATTGTTTTTTTTTTTTGTTGGCCATAAAGTATATAGTATATATGCAAATTTAATTCAGCATTGCCTAATCTGCATAATCATTGATTTGAGAAAATAAAAAGTCATAAGACAGAGTCTTGTATTGGGGTATATATTAATGAATGCATTTTTGTCTGGGGGTATTTTACTGCATGACAACTCAGAAGGAAATGTAGTACCTTTAACTCCACTACATGTATTTCACAGCTCCGGCTTCTAGTTACTGTGTAGATAAATATTCCTTACACAAACCTCATCATCAGCTTATAAAATATATATTGTTACAGAGTAAACTACCCAACAATATGTCAAGAGTTATTAGTTAATTATTATTATTAGAAATAGCTCCAATTCGACCAGCTACATTCAAATGCAACTGTGATTAAAATGACGTGTAATATATCAGTCATGTTATCGTAGGAAATAGAATACTTTTATGTGTTAATACAAAGCTTACAAAAGTCATCTATCCGACTACTTCCCCCACCACTGATGCAACTTACTGGTACTAAAAAAACATCCAGTTCCCCCCACCTGGGTGATGCCCACATGGTCAGAACTGAAACATAAACACAACTAATGTAACCGGTTTTAGTAAAGCACAGTGAGACACCCCTGTGCATATAATGTGCCATACAGAGCCCGACCCAGAGATCCATCAACAGAGTGGCTCACACTGTAAATGCACTGTGACGAGAGCTCATCGAAACTCTGCTGCCGAGGTTCCTTCCAAAGGCAGCGACAAAAATCTGCAGTATTCAGGTGGTTCCAGTCACTAACCAGAGTGTGATCACCGCTCTGTGCCTTCTGTCTGGTGTTAGCGTGTAGGCTGCAGTAGCAACTTTGTGTTCCGTTCACTCTGGCTTCACTTCCTCATTGTTCGGGGTCCCACAGAACCCACCAGTGATGGGAGATGTACTCATATCTTTCACCTAAAAAAAAAATATCACTATGACAAAGGTTTTGATGAACATCATATTCAAGGTTTCAAAAGTATTATCAGAAAAATGCACTTAAAGTATCAAAACAGAACGCTTCCTTTCACATAAATCATTATTTGAACATTATTCCTGATGTCTGAACGCATTAGCAGCACTAATCTTCTATCTAGCCAACGTAGGGCTGATATGATGGTGGATAATTAAGAAGTTGAAATAATTCATATTATATTAAGTTGATCATATGTTTAGTGTGTAAAATCTATTTTATCTGCATAGTAACTAAATATGTCATAAATTCGAGTTGGGTAAAAGTACAATTTGAGAGTAGCAGTAGTAAATTAAAGTAGTACCTAAGTAGTATATATATATATATATATGTATATATATATATACATATATTGCTTTTAATAGATAGTGACAGCTAGAGAAAGGAAAAGGGGGAGAGTGAGGGGGGATGACACGCAGGTAAGGGCCCTAAGTCGTACCTGAACCCACAGCCACAGCAAGGACCCAGCAGCCCCGGCACATAGGGAGCCAGGTAAGCTACCCAGGCACCCAGGTAAGTATGTTTGTGAGCCTCGGTCCTCCAGGACCCCAGTTAAAGAGGAGCTGCTTAAATGACCAGTGTGTAGGATTTAGTGGAATCTAGTGGTGAAGTTGCAGATTGCAACCAGTTAAACACCGCTTGCATCTGTATTTGACAACCTGCAGAAGAGAATGGGTTGTGAAGTGAGAAACTACGGTGGCCACGGAACGCCCTATCTAGAGTCAGTGTTTGGTTTGTCCATTCTGTTCACCAGTTCAACATGGCAGACTCCTCTGTAGATAATAACAGCTCATTCTAAAGTAACAAAAACACAATATTCAGGTGATTATACACTAATGAAAACATACCTATGAAAATTATATTCAGTTTCTGACAGTCGATCCTCCTAAATGTTACACACTGGACCTTTAAAAGTAACAATGTATAGATACAGTAAATTACATTTATGTTATGGAAAAGATTACTTTCTCTCTTCCTTTTAAAAAAGGGGTTTCTTAAATTCTGGACCGAGTGAGTGGGTTAAGTATGTAAGGCCCTTATGGACAGACCTTGTAATGCTGTTTGATTGTACCAGACCTCTTCAATTGTTATATTACTTCTTCTCAAGTCTCCCCAACATGCTCTTCATTGCTCTTGTGCACACACTTTACCTCACCCAAAATGTATGGAGTTTTTAATTTTAAAGCCCCCCTCCTCTTTAAAAATCAGTGTTTCCCCTTGTCCCTACAGTGTGCTGTTTGAATGCTGTCTGTGCAGAGTTTGACTCTAGAAGGATGTTTTCACATTCATCTGCTGAAGGTGGAAAGTTTCTCTGTGCTCATTGAACATCTGATTTTACAAATAGTTAGGAAGTCAGTCCTGGTCCAGTATCAACTTGTACAGTGTGATGTAGAAACTTGAAGCCACCAGTGCACATCCACTGAGAATGGACTTTACAGTGAAGTAGGAGACATCTTGTGTCCAGCAGGAACACTTTAGAAATGAACAACATTTACATATTCACAGATTCTGGAATTCATAATGAGGTAGAAGGAGGAGATTACTTTTTAAGGGTTTTAATGTGGAAATGAACACACATCAGACACACATTACTGTACTAAGCAGACTATTTGTATATGTATAATACATGTCTGGAAGGGATCTTTAAGTCTGAAAAAAAATTTTGTTCTGTAATATGAACTGCTGTCCCAAAATAAAGAATTTTTAATAAAAGTAGCATTATACTCATAACCTTACAAATGACTGCTGAGATTAATTTTGCAGACAAAAACGTGTCCGGTCAAAGACGTTAGTGGTGTGCCTCCTTCAACCTTTGTGTCTAACCAGTGAAGATGCTCTTCTCATTGATTCCTTTAAAATAGCCTCTGGGGGGACGTTACAGTACCACAGGAGCTTTCTCTATTTACATCACCTGACTGGCTTCCTGGGTTCCTCAAATGCAGTTACCTCAGTGCCATCTGTTGCCTCCAGTGTGCAAACTTACCTCACCAGCATCTCTAATGCTCTTTAGAACCCTCTCTTCGGCATTCTAACATCAGCCCTGTAGCTTTTGCTGCCTTTAATTCTCTCCATAAAGACACTTTTTCTCAGACTGTGGAGGTGTTCTGTTCAATTAATGTAAACTGTCTGCATGCATCATTAACAAACACTCTATAATGAAGGACCAATTCAAACTAATGAAGCTGTACATTAGTCTCAATTATCAGTGTGCTCCAGTCAAAGTAATTAGGCGGCAGTATGAAAACATTCCAGAGGTGTCTCTAGGCCGTGCTGGTCTCTAGCAGTTAAACCGAGGACCAGATCAAACACAGAGACGTATTATGGTATACATGCACGGCTCTACACCATTGTTCTTTCGATGCCTCTGAATTACTCATGCAGCTGCTGTGGCGACTGCAGTACAGACATGATCAGACCGAAGATGCCAGTCTGCACATAAAGACACATGACAGAGGCAGAGAGGCGCTCATGAGCTCGCTGCTGCAGGATTTAGATTATTGATGCAGGGTTTGGATATCGTCTTTAATCCCAGAGCTCGCTTTAATCCCAACTATATACTGTATTGGAAGTGAACTGAGAAAAATTTGATATTATTGTGGCAGGAATGGGCTGTTGGATATTGTCTTTGTACAAAAAAAAAAAAAAAAGGGCCAGAGCAGATACAAATGAGGGTACAATTCTGTACACAATCATGGTATAGTAATGACACCTGGCCACCCCAGTATGCTAAACTATGACCAGTGAGAGCCAGGACCTTATTTCAAACCACTACTATCAGAAGTCTGATAATATTGAGTCTTATGTAGAAATGAGCTGACTTCTGACTTGATTTATGAGCTCAGTAAACAGTTTCCTAAAGAGCTCATACAACATGATGTTCATTTAGTAAATGATGGTCCCATTTAGAGTAAAATAGATCATAAAGCAGGGTATGCTTTAGGGCGGGGCTACCTTGTGATCATTGTCAGTGAGTCCGTCCAGCTCAACACACCAAACTCAGATCAAACTGTCAAACTAGGCAGTGCTGATCAGATATATAAGATTCTGTTACTGTGTTGACTATTTCTCTCCTAAAATCTTTTTACAAACATATTTCAGTGTACTGTTTATCTGGAACACGAGATCATGCATGACGAGGCGAATTGCTATAATTTCCTGCTATGGATGAGTCAAAACCAAGCACAGCCAATAAGAGCAGCTCCACTCGCAGTCACCATCGCTGGCTCTGAAAAACCGACATGGTGACGACAACGGTACTCCACAAACCAATGGGTGGCGTCACAGTAGGTTCATGCTTGGTTCAAACCAACTGTTTAAATAAAATGTTTTAAAATATATTATTATAAAAAGTGTTGTGCAAGCCAACACAGGAAGAGGTGAATTACACTGTTTTAAATGCCCTGCAGGGTTGGTAAGTGTATCCTGGGCTGCAAGAGGCAGCTCGTAGCTCTTTTACACTCCACTGTAGCACATTTTCTAACCTTTCTTGTAGATTCGCAGTTTTTCACTTTGTCCACACAGACTTATTTATTTGATTTGTCTAGGTCATTTCTACAGTGACTGTATTCTTGAATGTGCATTGTTTTATTTTATGTATGTAATCCTAACCCTTACTTACCTAACCCCACTTGAGGAAGGATGAAAGCTTTATATTACATTTGTACTCTGGCACCACTCTGTTGTGTTGTGATTTGTAGATACAGTTATGTTTTCAGGGGTGCCCCAGTAGCTCACCTGGTGCAGTTTGCTCCCTATGTACTAAACCTGAACCCTGCAGCAGCTTCGGTTCGATTCCAGCCTGTGGCCCTTCGCTGCATGTCATCTCTCTCTCTCAATGCTTTCCTGTCTGCATTCAGCTGTCTCTATCTATTAAAGGCATAAAGAACCAGGAAAATATATATATATTTATATAGTATTTGTTTTTCCAATCTTAAACACAGGGATGAACAGAAACTGTAGGATACTGTAACATCAGTGTATGAGAAATGGTAAATATGACGTGTGTGCGCACATACCTTTCCATTCCTTTCTTCAGCATTCATGCCACCCCTGCATAAGTTAATGCCCCACCTGAGCCACCCCAGTCAATAAAGTCTGGATACACCTCTGGCTGTAAAATATATTCACTAAAAGAGCAAGAATAACTGTTAGTGTACATCAGCACACAGATTCAGTCATGTATCTCCATTCTATGAGATAGATCACATCAGAGCCCTGGTGAATGTTAAACATCAGCTCAGATAGAGCCACATGAAACCAGGAGCCCCGCGGATGGGGCTGGTGTTTGGGGAACACCTCGACCCTGCGCACAATGACGGGGTCTCGCAGAGGGCAGCAGTCTCAAGCAGGAGCGCTGACAGCAATGTGAAAAAAGAAATCTTCCTCCTCCTGCAACACATTACGGGGCGGCGCTGGCTCTTTGACAGCCAGCCTCCGGGACGAATAGAAACGCGGTGCTCCCCGGGAGTCGTCCAATCCTCGCATCCAGGGCGGGGTCTCGGGGTCGAAACCAGAGAGAGAATCCCAAAAATGACATCTCGATTGCGGTGGAGCAGGGAGCAACTGGGACGCTGAGAGAAGAAAGAAAGAAGTCCGACCCAGAGCTGCTCGTGAGGCTCGAAGACGCAGCGGAAAGGCGCAGAGAATTACGCACGGTCTCCGGTTTGGATGCCTCTGCTTCAGCGCGGACTTTCATCGCATCTTTGGAAATGTAGTTGCATTCTTGGGGAAATCTCAAGAAGGCATTTGTTGTTACAGTTCTAGTTGATGAGAGAGCCGCTGAGGCTACGTTTCCTGTTTGCCAGCGCGCTGCAGCTGGGCTGAAGAAGCCCCGCAGCGCTCACTGAACACCGGGTCCTCCTTCCCCGCTTCAAACCACAGCCGGTCCGCTGCCAGTCCGCTGCCACAAACTCGGTGGAGAAAAAAGAAGAAATGTGCGACCTGATGCCAGCCTCCCAGCCCGCGGAGAAAATCGGCAAAATGAAAAAGTTGAGGAGAACTTTGTCCGAGAGTTTCAGGAGTATCGGTGAGTAACGGGACGTGTTTTTATTTTCCAGCTCTTTGTGCAGAAAAATCCCAGTTGAGAAATGTCTCCAGCAGCAGCAGCACAGACTGCTGCTTCCTTCTGAGGTGATGTCTGGTCCCAGTTGGGGTTAGCAGCCATGGAAAAGCCACATTCACTCGGCCTGTCCACATTTCTCTCAGCAGAACTGCTTTTAAAGCTCAGACAGAGTTCTGAGGACAGTGGCTGTGATACATACAAACATGGAAACCTGCTGCTGAATTTGAGCTTGATTCTGATCCTCAGGTCACAGTCTTTCATAAATATCATCATCATCATCATCATCAGTTCAGTCTGTATGACCTCAGCATAAATTCAGACTTATTTTAGGAAAATAACTGCCTTTTTTCTGTCACTAGAGGTAATAAAAACTATAGACTCTACAGTTAGAGTCTGGAGGTGAAACCAGGAGGAGCTAAACTAAAATGATTTCACATTTATTTCACTTATTTTCACAAGTTGCTTGTTTTGTCTGACCGGTAGTCCAAGAAATTCACTTTACTGTCCCATAAAACCAAACAAATAAACAAGGCAGTGTTTGACTTCTAGGATTAATCAGTTATCAAGAAAGTTGTTGGTTCATTTTTTGTGAACAACTGAGCCATTAGCCGTTTTTTTCATACCACAATATATACAAGTATTGCTGATAAGGATCCCTTGTATTTGGTTTTGCCAACTTGTGGACAAACTCTGTAATGGCACCACAGTCTCAAACATCTGTCATCATCCATTAATACATACCACATTAATACATTTCAGCTCAACTGTTCTTTAGTAAGGAATGTAAAACCGGTATCATTTATTCATTATTTCATAAAAAGGTGGCACAATCTGAGGGCTCCAAACCCATTATTTTCATTATTATATATTAATGGATAAATGGTCCTTAAAATGTCTGAAAATGGTATAAAAAAAGAAAATGTCGATCAGTGTTTCCCAGAACCCAAGGTGACGTGAGAAGCGATGTTGAGCATGTTAAAAGTAGATAACTATTGGATAAATTGTTATTTTAAACATTGGTATTGGCCCAGTCGGTGCATACAGTGTAATGCCTCTTATTGTTTATTGGCCAATAAAATATCAGTAAACTGTTTTTTGTTTTTTTTAAAGGCAAAAGGCAATTTCCCAACTTGACTTCTTCAGATTTACCAACAGCCTAAAACAAAATAACAAAAAACAGTTTTCAGTCATAAAAACAAAGAAAAGCTGCATATTTTCACATTTGACAACTGGAAGCAGTCCACGTTTGATTGAAAAACTGCGGTGCTTAATTATCTGTCAGCTCACCAACTGATGGATCAAATCCTATTTTACTGTGTACATTTAAATTCATCAATGTTATGAAAAGTATGGGTGATGGTTTTGTGCAGAATGTGTGTTAGAGTTAAATCCCTGCATCCTCATCGTCGTCGTCGTCGTCGTCGTCGTCGTCATCATCATCATCATCTCTTCCCACTTCCAGTTTTTAAATATAGTTCTAGTTCTTAAGTAACCTTGTACGTGAATCTGTGGGGGAAAAAAACCATAGCGAACATCCAATCACATCACTGGTTGTCAAGGTGCACCCATCATATCTCATTTAATCTTTCTCTTATTTCCCTCTCTCATACACACACATCCTGCTGCACACACACATGCAGAGTGCCTTGGCATCGTCACAGGGTTCAGTGGCCTTTGAAGCAGCGTGCGTAGAGAATGAATAGCTGGATGCAGCCTGTAGGAAAAGATGAGGAATGAACAGAAGTGAGTTCGGGTCGATGTTGCGGGAGAAGAAAGATTGGCATTGACTTTTCTGCTGTGCGGACGCTCATCTCCTATTGGCCATCTTTCCTCCCATCTAAATCAACACATCTGAGCATCGATCGGGCTCTCGCTCGGCTCCACGGATGCTTTAACAAAGCGCATTAAAGAGCCAGCTTTATTGTTTATGTCCTTGTAACAGTGTTGATCCAACGGGTCCCAGTGGGCAGGGCTGAGTCACGTGTCAACTTATGGCTCTGTGCATTGTGGATGTTTTCATTATAACCACTTCAAACCTGGTTAATGGACTGATGCTGGCTCTTTTCTGAATTGTGAGCCCAGGTTTGTTCCTCATGAGCCAGTCTTAGAGAGCTGTCAGTTTGTCACGTGAAAGTGAGGGCGCAGGTCGTGTTTTCAAGATCATGAAGAAAGCCACAGATAGATTATGTGGAAGTAATGCAATGTCTCAAACCCCCTTTCATACATTTTTATTAAAAGCATATCAAATCATACAAATGTCCTGTGACCCCATTGGTCAGGGACATGTGGGACATCAAAAATAATGATTTCATCTGGGGCTTTCTTCATGGCCCCCTTCTCAACGTAATAATTGTTTTCCTGCGGTCGTGACTGAAAACTCAGTCCGATACCCGGACCTGCGTGATAAATCTGCGTTGTGAAGTAAATTAAGAGAGCATTACTGCCGTTGAGGTGCCCCTGAGCAAGGTAATTAACCCACAACTGCTCCTGAGGAGGTGCAGAGTGGCCATCAGATCAGAGTGTAGCCTGAGCTGCAAGATGTGAATGTGTGATTAATGAGGCTTTCACATCAGGGACCAGGACCCAGACCCAAGTACACTTGACCCCAAAGTCCAATTTGTTTGATTATTGTAAACACTGTTTGTCGTACCAGGACACAACTCAGCTGACCTTGAAAAGGTGGTGTCAACAATGGTTCAATGAGGGATCTTGTGAACAGTGGGCTTTTCTAACATTAGTAATGTGAAGGCTGAGTAGCGGGGAGTGAAGAGGTAGGGCAATCGTACCTAATATGAAAAGTACATCCACACGGTCATACAGAGAATCATCGCGTCAGGCCTCAGCGTTTAAAAATACACCCTGGCAAAGTGTGTCGGGAAAAACAGCTGGTGTACCTGTGGAGCGTTTTTTTCTGAAGTAAATTCCTCCAAAACAAAACCAATCAATGTCACTTGCAATCGCATGCCTGGCTGCCAAAACTCATCTCAGTGACAATGGAAAAAGATATTTTTTTCTGTCTCTGTCTTGACTGTCTCTCTCATTTGGACTCGTCTTGACTTGATATTGAATCTTTTTGTACTTGGACTTGACTTTGACTCAAACCTCTTTGGACTTGGTCTCGACTCAGTCTCAACTAGTCCTTGTCTTGGACTCAACAAAGGTCTTGACTACAGCACTTTAAAACTCTGGTGCTAGCTTCAGTGCCTGAATTGAACCCAAAAAGGTGCCAGTACCCTAATTTAGTACAACCCTAACCCTAAACTCAGCATAAGCCTAACCCTAGTTCCTTAGGTCCTTTTTTTTTAAGGATATAGTTATGCAGGAGTAACTCACCAGCATTACTGTACGCAGGATTTTAGAAATACACCGGCCCAAAATCTGAACATTAGGAGGAGGTTTGAAGGGGTATCAAAGTGTTTTTAGGAAAATATATCACAACTTCTGTTGAGATCCAGATCCCAGGGACCTCAGTGGTCGGTACAGTCATGCTCACCAGTGGCGGTACTCTGTAAGAAGTAAGGGTTATCTTGTGGACAATGATCAGAAGTGCCGGTACTCAGTATTGGTGAATATTGGCCCATTTCAGGCACTGGCCAGCTTACAGGGTAGGAGGGGAACTTCTCCTTACTTCCAAGCCATGCTTCAACCATACACTCTGGCCTAATTTCCATTGGCACAATCAAAGGCGTTTCTAGAAATATTGAGGAGGCAGTCTACCTATGTGAGGAGGAAGTAAGACGCTCCTAGAGAAGAGCTTTAGTACTCACTAAATTTGCCTGGATAAACAAATAGATAAAGCTATAAATAAACCTAATGGATATAGAGCTTGGTCTATATTGCAGATAAAACATTGGGTGAAGTTACTTAGGTGGATTTAACAGCACATCCTTGATGTTAATTTACCAATGAAAACACCTTCTCTGTAGAGTATGAGAGACAGGCTTGGCTTCTTAATGTTTTCCATACAACTCTGATCAAAAGGCAAATTCCTTCAAGTGAGAGACGTGGCGTGAAAAGCTGTAGAAGCAGTAATGAGGTGTTATGGGTTTTAAAGCAGGAGTGTGTGTCTTTTTTTACAGTGAGTTTGGACAAAACAGTCTTCTTTTCCCTGTGTAATAGTTTATCTCTTGTCTCCCTCTCATCTTTTCTTTCAAAAAGTGATTCTTTCCTTTTCTGTCTGGAAATAAATATAGTATACTAATTACTTGCAGTGAACAAGAGTGCTCTGACGGCTTCTCCCCAGCATTAAAATCTGATTGTTTTGACAGGTACACATTCTTCACTGAATGCTATCCTTCAGCACAAATACATAGATAGACAGGTGGTAGACGGGAGGTAGACTGGTAGGTAGGTAGGTAGGTAGGTAGGTAGGTAGGTAGGTAGGTAGATAGTGGATACATTTTAACATCTTTCGTATGAAGTTGCATTTTCTCTTGTGATTGTCTCTTTGCATGTGAAATATTATCACATGAACAACTGACTTTTTTTGAGAATATATAAGAATATGCTTATTTTCTGTCTTGCTAAGAGTAAAGATGAGAGGATGGATTCTATGCAGCTCTGTGTCTGTTCAAGAAACAATTACAGCATGAAGCCCCTGTAATACCACAGCTGTACTGTCTTTATGTTAAGCTAAGCGAACACATAGATCTGAGATGGGTATTGTTCTTCTCACATCCTACAAGAAGGGGTGGGTGATCTGGCCCAAAAAAATTCAATCTATTTAATCGCAAACACTATCCACGATCTAAATTTAAATCTTTTTAATTCATTTTCTCAATTTTCATTTAAGATACAAGTTTAAAATTGTTAATTTGAAGTTCTAAAATGATACCAAATGAGAACATAATCATAAAATAATAATATAAAGTACTCACAATTAAATTGCATTGTTCTTAATACGTCAACCGAGGAAGAACCATGTGAAGAAACTATCAACATAGTTCTAGTTAGTTCTAGTCAGCTGTCAATCATAATGTGAAACCCCCTTTTTATAGCATCACATTATACTAAATTGAACTAATTAAAACCAAACTTATCAGAGAAATTAACATTCACATCAGCATGATAAGAACTATCTAAAATGCCAGTAACTAACCAGCTAACATGGAGGCAGTGGGCTTTATGACCTATTCTGCAGTCAGCCACCAGGGGGCGATAGAGATGTTTTGGTGTCACTTTTGGAGCGCTGTCATGTCGATCAGCTTTATTGATGTCGGTGATTTGTTCACGTTGCGCAGAACCGCTAGTCCGTGAGGTTATGTGAGGTTTGGAAACAGAAGTAGGAGGACATTAAATATCGCAATCTCTACGAGTTGCCTGAAAAAGTGCATTGTGGATGGCGTAGACCACTATTATAATTTCTATCATTAACAGTGCGAGCTGTGAAAAAAGAAGGTTTTAGCCAGTGGCCTATGTTCGCTAGCTAACTGTCGCTGGAAAATGTATGCAGCTGTAGCGAATTAACAAAGAGTGAATTAGCAAGATGACGACAGAGAAAGTCTTGGTTGTCGGAACTGTGGAACTTCTAAGCGCTCATGTTAGCTTTGTTAGTGGCTACAGTTTACAGATGCTATCGTTAGCAATGGTCAGTGTAAATATCGTCAGACATGACTCAGTTGTAGTTGTTATCAATAAGTACAATGACACATTTGAATTGAATTTTAATATCATAAGCCTTTATTATGTTAGCTAAATTGGTACATTTTATTCGGGAAAACTAGCTTTGTTTACTCAACAACAACAACAACAACAACAACAAGCTGTAGGCTAGTTCAACAAGATATATGTGATAATGATTTAGTTATATAAAGCTATGTAGAGCACAAATACAGGACTGTAGTTTAATATATAGAAAACAATAGCAATTTAAATTTAAATATTGGTTAAAAAAATCAACATGAATTGTTTTTCTCAAATGCTTTAGCTCCAGCAATGTCTAGTTAAATTTAAATGTGAAAAAGGGGTTGATTCACTATACAAACTACAGCATTTAGAATCGATTAAATATATATTTTTTAAGTAATATTCAAAAAAATATGAAGATTATTTTAATTTAAAAAAACTGAACTTGACAATGTAGAATGCCTTTCTTGTTCAATGAGCACTAACTCTTACCCATCAGCCAGTGCAGAGGCTTTATTGTCTACCTGCAGTCTAATCCATTGTATTGAGCTTGGATTCGCAGACTGTGATGATGCTGTCTGGAGTGTCTGGGAAGTCTTTGGGGAACGCGTGTGCTGACCCTCTGAGGAGAAGGAAGCAGCAGTTTAATGGCTCAGTGGCTGGGCTGACAATGCTTCCAAACACTCACTCTGACATGAAAAAGTCATTTTGCCATGAAGCAGTCCCCGGAGCCCTCTGTCTTTTAGCCGTCTGCACTGCCTCTCTCATTAGACAACATAATCACGGCAAGGAGTTAATAACTGAAAAATCACCATTTGCCTGTTAATAATTCTCTCCACAAGCTTCGGGAGAGTGATTCAGAAATCAAAGCTGCAGAAACAAACAGTTTATTCCCCTTCCTCCTCATGAATATGAAAGATATTGATGTCAAATACTATTACTGTCTTACCCTGCAGTAGAACACAGTGGATTGTCAGGGTGGATGTAGATGTACCAAATAATTGAATAACCTTTTATATGCTTTATTTTTTTGAAGCTTTCTGGAATTGCAGGGCTTTTCTTGCGGTTTCTTTTCTGCCTGCACTTAAACATAACATACAACATAACGTAACATAACGTACACGGATAATATCTGAAGGTCTACTATTTCAGAAGAACAGTTATGTGGGAGATTATGACACACCTTTATGTGGGGAAAAAACCCATAAATAGAGACCACACAGCAGCATCACTTCTCTCTCAGGGGTTACCTATGATGTGCAAGATGCAGTGTCACATAGCCAATGGGTAGATAAACTAACGCTTGTAGCTAAGTTGGGTTTTATGAGGTAGTTCGTCCCATAGTCCCATAGTCTGTGCATTACCTACAGTAGGTGGCAGTCAGTGCGTCCCTGCTTTGGAGAAGCAGATAAGAGTACCAGTAAGTTAAACAATATGCTGCTGTGTGTGGGGACAGCAGTATCCTGTATCATGATACATATTGTATTGCTGTATTGTATTTCAGGCACCTAAAAAAAACCAAAAAAATTCACTATATATTTTTGGCCTTTTGTTGGCTTTATTGATAGAGACAGCTGTAGAGAGACAAGAAGGGTAGGTGGAGAGAGAGGGGATGACATGCAGCAAAGGGCCACAGGTTGGATTCGAACCCGGGCCACTCCGTATGTGGGTCGCCAGCTCTACCGACTGGGCTAACTGGGAGCCCACGTTCACTATATTTAGAATATTTTCACTGCTTTACCTTGCTGTCATACAGGGACTATGGATTAGTACCTCATACAACCCCAATTCAAAAAACCTAAACTTTTGCTTAGAGTATGACCTTAAATGGACCATGTTTGTTGACAAGTCTGCCAGCTCAACCTGGAGCTAATGAGTAATATTAATAAAGATTCAATTCCCTTGTTGATTCCTGATCCATTTTTTGTTTGGAAAAAAGGTATGTCTACACAGGTTTTCAGAAGTGACACAACTGTTTAATTATCTCTGACTCTTTCTTAACTGGAACTGGATGATTCCCATCTCTAAAAATTCAGCATCAAAACAAACCACTTCATAATCACGGTATCAGGATCACTTTTATTGCCATGTATGCATACATATACAGTAATAACATTTGTAGACAGTAAGACAACGGTGCAATGGTGCAGAGTACAAAGGACATATGCAAACACATGGAAGTGTAGGTTTCTTTAAGTCCAAAGTATTGGTATTATTCATCATGGTTAATGTTCATTTTGAGTGTGCAGATTCATTGTTTATCTCGGGAACATGAACCTGTGATAAAATATTCTAAACTCAAGGTTACTAGCTTTTTATGGAGTTTTTCAGCTGCATGGCCTTATTATTGAAGGAGGCTTTTCACAACCACGGTGCTGTATATCAAGGCTGGGCTGTCATGAACGTCAGTATGTGTTGTTATACCAAGGGTTACTCTTTCAAGCAGATGTCATGCAAAAGACTTCCAGCAACATTACAGATAAGATTATTACCTAGTTAAAATGAACAGAAGATGATGATGCCTTTGTGTTTAGTATTTTAATAATTTATTATCTTTTTAATAATAATAAACTTTAACATTTTATTTTTGATTCAACAGTGTAGAAAACTAAAATATGATCAAATGAGCTCTCTTTACAAAGGTTTTAGAACCCCCAGGTTTCTTTGAAGGAAAAATATCGATACAATTGAGTATCACAATTTTGTTTTGAGATATTGTATCGATTTGTGTGTTTAATCCCCAGCATTTAGAAGTGTTGTAAACAAAAAACCGTTCCTAAAATTAGATATTACAAAAAGAAATTCCAATATATGACCTTGCTAACATTATCGCAATATATCGGATTACATTGAATCGTAACCCCTGTATCGTGATACGTATCTTATCACCAAATTCTTGCCAAAACACAGCCCTAGTTTTTATGACTTTTCTACCCTAACTCATAAAAGTGAACATTTCTTATTTGGGTATAATACATTAGTAATCTTTCCAACTCTGCTAGTGTTACTTTCTGCCCTGCTGTGATGAAACTCCATGAGAAAAGTGAGTTGTCACCTTGACTAGTGAACTCCTCTTCAGCTCACCCCAAACCTAGACCTGTGCTGCTTTAATGAGCTCAGGATGAATTCCTGACAAATTTCAGCATGGTGACAAGTTCCTGTGCTGCATTTCTACCATTAGACTTTTTTTTATTTTGTTCATTCTTCAAAAGATGTCAATACAGGCAGTGTCTGATTCTCTCTTCCTTTCTTCTCTTTGCAGCTTTCAAGAAAGAGGACAGCGGCTTTGATGAGGTAGGATGAAAACAAGTGAATTTTAGGGAGCTGGTGACATTTCTGGCCCAGTTTCAGGTCTACACCACAGTTTTATATGCTGTATTTTTCACAAAAATTATTCATCAAGGTCTTTTTGGCCAGATGTTGTCAGGGCTGCATTGCAGTGGATTTTTTTTTATCCTGCTCTAACTGGGTGCATATGGTGTGTAATATATTCATGTGTAGAGCATGGTGGTTTTCCCTCTCATCTCTGAGACGTCCCTCAGGGTCAGTCGCCATCACAGAGCTTCTCTGGCCTGCCAAATGAGACACAACCAAACGCACCAATCTGATTCTGTCTGTATGAGTACACCCAGGGCTCCAGCCTTGTTTCACATCCGTCCCACAACATTGTGCCCACCGTCCTGAGGTGAAACTAACTGAATAAATTCTCTCTCATTTGAAATGCATTGTTAAAAATGGTCAAACGAAAGCTAATTTGAGAGGCAGAGGACAGTTAGAAATGTCCACAGTTTGATAGTTGAGGTTGGTCCACATTTATGGCCTCCTCTCATTCTCTTTGAGCAGTGATCTGGTGAATGGAGTCCCCTTGTTTCTCCTGCACTGCACAGTGCAGTATAGTGCACGTGCCTAAAATTCCTAAAACTACACCCCCCGTCCCGCGAAAAAATTCAAATTAAATGGATGACATGTGGTGGGTAAAGGTGCCAGGTAGACAGCATATTAAGAGCAGTTTACTGTTTAAACACCGCTTTTATGTGTTACAACTGGGGAACTGCAGGCAGTGTATCTACAGTATCATTTAGGGAGGTTGATTTACTATGGATATTGCAGTGCTTTCTTTTTTGGTTGCTAATGAGTATGGTAGCTCATTTGCTTATTTTCTATATAGTTGCACTGATGATTTGTGTTTGAAAAAAATATAGCTAAAATAATTCATGCAATAATATTGGTATCTAATTTCTTGCTGCTAAATGCTCCACTATGTTCACCAGCTAGTCTCTAATGTTATCGGTCTGTTTGGCGCGGAGCAGGTAGGGGTTTATCAGAGCTTTTTGACTGAAAACAGCTGCCAGAAGCTGTTGGAAATGGGACTGCAACTAAAAATGATTTCCATTATCGATTAATTTCACAGTTAATCGATTATTTAAATGGTATGGCAAACCGGGTGAAATGTGTATTGTCTTAGAGTTAATATTACTGTATTGACCAACCCTAGATGCTTCACTGTTGTACAAAAGTGGCCACCTTTTTTCTTGCAAGCTATGTTACATGCTGCCACAAACTCATCCCAAAACAGTTTTTAATTCAACCTGTAGATTGTTTTTATAGTCCCAGGAATACTGTAATGGTATTATTTTGCAGCCCTGTACAGTATAACGTATTGATTCTCTCCCATTCTCGCTCAGTTTGCTGTTGTAGGCGGCTGCTTGATGAGGCGGTCAATAGGTCCGAGGATAGCTGGGATGTTGTGTTTGTATCGGCAGGGGAAATCCTGCTTGGTTGCTCCTTTGAGTTAAAGTAACAGTGAGTGTTCAGCAGTGTTCAACCTGCACCTATAGTGCACTGCAGTGGGCTAGCTAAAGCCGTGTCCTTGTAGTGAAGCAACCACATGGTCTTTAAGCTTTTGGAACCTTTCCAGCATATTGTCTGCAAGAGGCGGTGGCATTGCTTAATGAATAAGTGATAAGACACCAGGATGCTTTGTGTTGATGTGGCAGACATGTTGCTGCTATGGTTGGTTGGCAGATTCTTTTATTTATTCTATCTGAGAGACCTGCTGAGATCCAGAAGAGTGTTCTCAAACACATCAGTACTAGACTGATAATCAGATTGAATTGGCATTTTTCTTCACATCACTGTGTTCATATTAGCCATTTTCTGTTTGTTTGTTAAAAATTGGTAGCAAGTGAGGTATCCTTCCCTCCAATACAGTTTGAAATTAATTCAGTTGATTTGCATTAATCTAATCCACACATGTTGTAATTTTTATGGCACTTTTTCGTTCACTAGCTCCACCTAAAAGACTATGATTGGCTCAGGTTATTTTTCCACCGAGGGAACCGTTAGAGTTAGGAGCCAGGAACCAGGCTATTTTAATAATAGTGACAAAGGAAAGAGTGTAAAGTTCTATCACAGTGAGCAACCCTAAGCAGACTGAAGAGTAGAGACAGGTATTTAATTATAAAATAATTTATGTAAGGAAGAAATTCTCTTGACAAAGTGTGTCTGGTCGACCATAAGTAGGGCTATATATTGAACCTGATCACTTTTTGAATTTAATTTGTCTGTAGCAAGTGTCAAATAAAATAAACTGACATTTACATGCTTGCTCAGATTCTTAGGTTTGTTTACTTATTCTTCAATCAGATCAATTATCTAAATACTGGATTTCTGATGCCAATGCAATAATGATTTTTAATAAATCAGATATTTTGGCTGACATAACAGTTTTGATAAGGATCCCTTAAACTTCTTATTAAAGTATTGTGACGGGGGTATAATAAAATATTGATTCAGTTGAGTGTCACAATATTTAGTTTTATATATTGTAAAATACCTTTCTAAAAGAGTTCTGTCACAAACTGAATATTATAACCTTCCTGAAGGGAGGATTTATAGTAGGACTGTTGTTGTAATAGTGCTGCATTAATTTTAGTTAGGAGTACCTATTAAACTGGAAATAGAGTGTGCCTGGCATTGCCACAGTGTAATAAATCAACCCAGTCAGTTTATTGGTCAGGAGGTAGATATTTTAATAGACAAAAATGGGTTTAAGCATCTTTGTATTTCCTCAATTAAGCTATTGAAACTTTGTTGTACCAAAGTTCTGTGTTGTATTGGAGTTGATATCAAAAACCAAAAAATTGTCCCATTTATAAAAGATAACAGAGGCACATTTCACAAATGAATCCAGATGTCAGTAAAACATGGTGCATATGTTAACGGACTCTCTGAAAGGTTCAGAGAAATGTTAGGTGTTTTGTGCCAGTCATTACATGGTATAGATTTTGGAAAAAATAAACCAAAAAGTGGATATGTTAATTAGAAGACCACCGTGTGGCTGAAATGAGTGGCTGTCATTTCCCGAGTGGTGAAGGAAACCACTTTCTAATTTCCCTAGCTTTGGGATTTACTGTCTCTGAGCTCCAAATGCTTTTATCTGAGAAAAGAAAATACGCAATGTTGCTGGGAATGACATCCTTTAAATACAGTGAGGACTTTCAGCATTAAGCCTCTAAGAATATACAGTATCATTATGAATTTATCTTTTTGAGTTTTCTGTAACACCGTCTCATCTCGGTCCAGCATGACTTTTATTTTATTTAATAATAATTCAATTTCTTAAAATTCGTCCGAAACGGCTACTTAGACTCGATGGTGAGCTAATTAGATTTTGGTTAAGTTAAAAGTCAATGTGACCTCACAAAACACATTTTTGGACATAAGAATTGATGACCATATTTCCTGATTTACCAGATTTTACACATGTTGACTGGGACGACATGATGAGTAAACAAAAACTAGAACAGTACGGGCTTTCATCTTTCCATCTCATCCGTTCTGCCTTTCACTTCCTGCCTCATTCACGTGACTGCAAACAACACACTGGAGCATGCCTGGCTGATGGCGATTCTGTGAGTGAGAAGCTTCACATTTAGAAATAACAGATCAATGATAACCTTTCATTAATCAGTTCAAACATGTATATTCACTGGAATCATATATATGTATCATCAATACAGTGATTCCATTTAGCCAAAAAATACTCTTCATCCCTTTTTATTCAATTCCTTCACTACAAGTCTTCACCACATATATAATATGAGTCTGGACGGACATGGATGTAAACTGCTACTTCAATGGTTGGCGGAGGTAAACAACCGCTGAGCAGTAAGTCTAGTTTTGCTCCATCTGATTCCATGTGTCATTGGTCTGTGTCTCCATCTGATTCCAGACCTTATTTCATATTCATTCTAACTAGGATAGGAACAGTTTGCTGTCATACTGCAGCCTCAGCTGCTGTGTGGTGCTGTGGCGTAGATGAGGCAATGAGGAATGCTAAACTGTAAGATTTTCCCATTGAGAGAACTTTGTCTTTGTTTCTGTTGGCAAAGGGACAGGAGAGCTCAGAAATCACATATATTTGGCAACATGGCTGTTTATCAAGATTCCTGCGATTATTTGGATAAGAAGATATAGCCTATGTTCTTGTTCAGGAAGGGACTTTTGTGGTGAAACTACGTGAAGCAGGCCATTTCTGGTAGCCAGTACCATGGGAATTAGCTCAGGCCATTTGCTATAAATGGGCCTTGCTACTAAAGAAGAATGTAAAGAATCTTAGAAGGAAAGAGACTCCTTCCTGTCCCGCAACATGATGTTTGTATGAAAGTGAATGATGGCCCGCAGTATGTGAACATATGGCAGTTTGGCTTAAAACAGCAGTTGTGTGTATGTGCGTGCATTCAGACCTTATGTGTTTTTTGATAGAGGCAGACAGACACTGAGAGCCTGTTTGCCACTGGTTGTCTGTTGAACTGATGATCATTTGTCATAGTGAATAGGAAACTATGTGTCTGTTTAAAGCATAGGGACGGCTGGTCAGACCCAGAGGCCTGAACCTACGTTCAGATGGCGGAGGAGGCATAGTTTCTTGTTGTTTTTACTTTTGGATGTTTGATGTCGTAAAAAATTCTGTCATGTTTGGCGTCCCGATCGTCAGGACAACAGCGTTCAGCAGGGGCTTTCAAAATGCATTACCAAAATAATCCATATGAGAGTTTTCTGATCTGCCACCACAAGGCAGTAGTTCCCAAATTGGGAGGCGGGCCCCCCTGGAGGGATGCAGAGCCATTTCTGATGGCGGGTGGGGCGGACCAATGACTAGGGTGAAAAATGTGGGGAGCATGTAAAGAATGTGATTCATTAAGCAACAACCAAAGCTCGAATGCTTTGAAAAGCTAGACTCACAAGCTCTCTCTAAACGCTCAAGATTCAAGTTTGTAAGGTGTTTTTGG